TCTCAACTCCTCGAAGACGGTGTACCCCAGTCGACGTAGACGTTTTGCAAGTTCCCTTGCAACCCGATTATGACGAGCACATCTGGCATCATGCGTGATCCAGCAGGATTGCAAAATATGCACCAAACTCTCCGGTTGGCCACAGTTTCCATGACATAAGATCGTCTGGCCACCATGACCATGCCGAGCGCTTCTAACTCTCGTCCTAAGCAGGTTGCATCGGAGCTGGATACCCCGGATAAATATCCGTGGAAACACTCGTTCTGGGAATACGAGCCATCGATTCGACAGAGGCGAAGTGACCAACTCTCGTAAACCGCGACCGTCAGCGCTGTTGTGCAGACTAATTTTAAATTCGCTGACCACACACTAAAGACCAGATTTCGAATGGGATACATGACTAAAAACAGTTAGTTTTGGTGGCGCGTTGGACACCTCAATTTTGGAGGAGCGATTGGAAGACATCCACCCACATCCATTCATTTGCTCAAAACCTATAATAAGCCGCCGTCGGACGGATGGAGACAGTTAAATTGACATAAGAGCAGAGTCAGATTCAAACTGAAGAAGTTTATTGATCAGTAAACGATTTGTTTGTATGGTCAATGTTAAAAAACACTGTGCGGTGTTCTCGCGTAGCATTCACACAGACTTCCTACGCTCAAGTTGACGGCAAAATAGTAAACTTATGGTTATTCGAATACAAAGTATTCGCCTTAAAATTGCTCTTGTGGCAAATGACATGCATCCAGGTTTTTTGGAGATAAATATTTCTGTTCGTTAGTATTCTTTTCATCATAAAACTCAGCATACATTCGGGTGAAACTACTCTGTAGGTCAGTTTTGCCGGAGTTCTGTTGAAAACCACAAACAAGAGTTCCCACATTCGCGTAGCAACAGCCGGGGTAAATTCGTGCTCACGTCAACCGTACATTGGCCAGCCACCTTCATTCACTTCTTCTATGTGTGTCACGTGCAGCCTAATCCAAGGTCATTTCCAACATCCATCCCTATGGAGGGATAGTTTGTGATTAGTTCCGTTGGTAGTCACTTCGGAAGTGGTCAACATTGTCAAAGTGTGCAACAAAGTTAACAACTACTCTTGGAGGTTCGACAAAAACTGAATGTCCCAAAAGATTCTGACCCATTGCCTGTCTGAGGAAGAGAAACTTAGCTCATCCTTGGTACTAATGCGTAGATAACTAGTGAAATCGCAGCAAAGCTCGTACACCTTCCCATTAAATGTCACTTCCGATTACGAGCATTTCTTTCTGTGTGTTGCAAGCTACAGCTAGCGGATGGATTGAATTGAATGGAGTTGGCATTCTTATGAAAATTCAAAGTAAAATGGCTAAGGTGTGTTCAAATCTTGAATCCAGAAGCCATAAGAAAAGATAAAAAGCATAGTAAAACTTGGCTATCAAAAGCGTAGAACGATAGACCGACCTCCAGTTGCCTCGCGTGTTGTCGAGGCACATGCTTCATCTGATCGATTCAAAAAGCCCTGTCCGATCGCATACTCGAGGGCCAAATCTGCCATTAAATCAGACATCGACAAGCCAGGGACGGTTGTTTCTGGAACGAAGATTGGCGCGACAGGAAGCGAGACGGAGTGGTCTTGCACATGCCACACGTGGTTTGCCCAGCTTCCAGTTTCCAGACTAAGTACCACATGGGGTTGGAAATCCCGAATGAACGGTGTCAAACCAGATCGTAAAATGGCCACTACCTGGGCAAAAGAAATCAAACAGTGACAATCATTTTCTACATGTAACAGTTCGAGGATATGTCTTGCAGAGTTAGGGGTGAGATAGCTCAAGTGGTTACAGCGCGAATTTGCTGACCGGAAGGTCCGTTGTTCGAACCCACCTCTGCCTCTCGACTTCTCCTGTCTAGGCTTGGGCAACCTGACAGTATCCCAGCCCTCGTGCTTCCTTCGGGTGGCATGGCAGCTAGGCACCGAAAGGGCGCTACAGCTGAACGATTATTATTTATTATTCTTGCAGAATTACCCATTTGGGATTATTACCAAAGGGAATCGACCGAAGATCTTGACTGTTATTCACATAGTGGGCGTAGTCGCCTGTGGTTACAGGCTGATCCGTCTGACCGGACGCCATCTGTCGTGTTCTTATTTTTACGGTGATCGGCTAATAGATGGTCTATTCTTGCGGTGTTATGCTGTACGTACGGGGCATAAGGGGTACGTTCGGCGGTGGCGACTAGAGCAATCAGAAGACCCCGGTGACTGGGATTCGGTCACAACTCCATAAATGCTTGTGGTTACGGTATTAAGGTTAGAAGGTGTTCTCACAAACGTCCGTGGCCAAGGAAAATAGTTATTTCCTCACAGATAGAGGAATGTTAATATGGGCTAAACTTACCAACCCCAATCGAACATTTAACAAACATCGGAGAACTGAAATTCACCATCTGCATAATGAGGTCGGTGGTCGAGCCGTCCTCCAGCAAATAAGGCGCTATCATTAACCAGTCATGCGGTCAACTTTTCTGTGACTATACGATGAACTTCGGTAAGATGCGAAGTAGTGCGCCGTCGAATCAACCAGATTCTTTATGAGCGCAAGAAAAGTGCAAGCAGATTTTTTGTTCCTTTAGGTTCGAAAAAAATTATTCTCAAAGCAAGACTCTGTACCAGTCAGGTACTACTTACGATTGCCCAGCGGCAACCACGAATGCCAGCTGACCTGCTGCCGTCTAGAAAGTGCTATATATTCATCTAAGATCAAGTCAAGGTGAAATTCAGCAACTTAGGCGTATTTTGTACAACCGATCGATCCTGAAATAGCACACGATTTCCCGTTTCAAGGTCGGCAATCAGTTGGAGTATTGGTAGCCCGGAGGCACTTATTGATTTTCCGTAGATTGACCAAGCTTGGCAACTGATTCCTGAATGTATCACAACCACTCGAGGAGACGTCGTGAGCGCCACGGTGGATCCCATCCAGCAGTGCGTCCACTAACTGAACATTTACGAGTCAATTGCCGCGCTCGACGAACAAATCAACAATTATATTGAAGTCCGCCATAAAGCCGAAAAAATACAAAGAAAGGAGATTAAAACTTGAGTCCTGGCTTGCAGTGATTTCAACCAATCGAATTACCACAGATTTAGTCAAGCATCCGAGTGACGCCACGTGGTGACAGACTACACCGACCAGATGGTGTGGCGAGTAGTTTTGGAACGACATCTTGATGAGGCACACCACGATGAAATCATCCTCATGGTTGCTCCGACTGAACATCATCACTAAGAGAGTTAAGGAATATAAAGAAGTCACTCATCATCTATGTTACTACGATCAAGACCGTACATCACTGTACCTGTCAGCAGTGAGAGCAACACACACCAGCATGAGTATGTTTGCGCAACTGAAGAGAGACTGAAAAACAATAAAATCAAATTTGTTCATTAGCTTAGCTTTTCGATTAGTTCTGTCTAAGGTTGGACAACCTGGTAGTAGCTCAGCCTCGGCACTTTCTTTGAGTTGCCCGGAGTGTCATAGCTGAACGATTGTATCGATGTCAGCAATAAAACATGGTGTGAATCCCTGATAAAGCCAGCTATTCTCACTTAGATCGGCCATCTCATGGAGTAGATACTTCTAAAACGCAAAAGGGTGATGGTTTACTCAGTGCCGGGTTAGGTATACTTACTCTCCTTATTTGACAAACCTCTATGCAAAGACACGGTCCCACAGGAGGCTATTGATCAGGTGACTCTTGATGAGTTCGCCGAAATTGGCTTGAGAACGTTTCGCCATCAATCGACGAGACCTCATCAGTGTGAGGTTGGGCGGGTTCACGTTAATTGCAGTTAAGAATGTACCGCCCTCCCTGAACATGACACAGCTTCTCCTTGTTTCCGAAGCTATGTTCTTCGTTACCTGTGTTACCCGAGCAGTGGTGATCACGAAAATACAGGGCGAAATAAGTCCAAAAGTTGCAAAAGTTAATAGGAAAAATCGCCGGTACCTTTACCAATTCCTCTTCAGATGAATCCTGTTCCAAGCATTCATCCGTCACTTGAGAGTCATCATCCGGATTTGGGTCAGTTCGGCTCTTGCGAGCACGCTCTGTCGTCCCCTCCGCGTCCAAATATGGCACGATGACGATGTGAGTGGAGAGCAAGTGTCCAACACGCCGGTCAAATAAACGGACTCCTGTTGACCAGAAAACAAGACAGAGCGAGTGACTATTAAACGAACACGGTGAAGGACGTGTGACATCCACCTTCAATAGGTAGACAACTACGAAGGGCGATGATAAAACGCACGGTTGCAGTTCCCTTCACCAGATACATGCACGTTACACGCACCAAATCAATAAAAAATAAGGCCACTTCGCTGTGATATTCTATTGCAGGCTAGCTAGCATGCGACTCATGCAAAGTCCCTATATACCTTACGTCACTATCTTGTAACAGTGAAATCTGGAAATATTTCATATGGGTGCTGTTCAGGAGCAGCAAACGACGGCTAGAACAACGTCTAGTGCGACCTGGTGCTCGTTCTGACACTGGACAACATCACCGTTCCAGGCCGCAAGCATTCAACTGTTCCCCGAAAACGCTAACGCCACCGATGAAACAGCACAGAGGGCAGTGTACACTTGGAAGTGAGCCTGGCATACCGCCAGGTATACCATACATATAAGATAACACTTCAGGTTCCCGTACCTGAAAACAAAACACTGACCTTTTAATTCCTTCACTTCTCGCTCGTCACAAAGAGGTCAATCAAGCCGTACACTGATATTAGGTGGTTTGGGGACGCCCGTGACCCAGTGATCACACTGGGAGGTTATTATAGCAAGTTGACCCGTGGTTATGGGTCTAGTTAGCAGCCTCCTTGTCCTCTAGACTGGGAGTTGGAGACACTGAGACGATTCATTCTTTTAAAAATGAAATAACTTAGAATTTCCTGCAACATACTGCAGTAGTGATGCTAGGCACCTGGAGATGTCTGGGTCTTGGTAGTGTTCGAGCCCGCGTACAAAGACTATCCACAACTACATCGCCTTATCCGTATTGCCATTCACCTCGTTACCTTACCAGATGCATATAGCTACTGTTGATGCTTTCCCCACCTTTGAACACCCATTCTTTCCCCCTACCAATCAGAGTGACTGTAATCTCCTTGTAGGCGCTTCTTTTAGGGCAGGCGGCACGATTCATCTTACATCATCCTCGGCCGCGACTTCCGTGTACCAGTCGATGCCAATAGTCGTAAACACCTCGAAATCAATCTTCAAGGCCATCGGCGCCATTTTCTTCTGTGGTGCCGGGCCGATGGTAGGTACCCCACTTAGTAACTGAGATGCGTGAGGGTCATGAAGTCGAACGAATGAACCACAACTTCCCTTCGGAGTTCCTCCCAACTAGTCCACCATCGAATGCCGATTCTCAGTGGAACGTGATCGGTACATGTTTGCATGCTGGCGGAAGTTCCGTCCGCGCACAGTACATCCGGCTTCACTCAGACACTGGACAACAGATTAAAGAATGAGATTGGTTTAGCCTCGGAGCATAGAGTTCAGTCCGGTGAACTGTCAGGTGTTCGGCGAAAATCAGTGTGCACACCGACCTGGGGATGCGGAAGGTCAAGAAAATTAAAGGTGCGAGGAATGCAGGGAACGTCCGAGGTTACTTTATTTAATTTGTGCAACGGGTCCTGAGTGAGCCATCAAGGATCAAACTGGTTTGCTCACTTTCAGTAAAGAAGAACGCTTTGGTAGCCAGGCCGAGCACTTTGAACATTCATCGAAACTACCTGTTTTTATTCAGTCGGATTCTAGGACCGCACTAAAACCCCACGTGTTAAACCTGGAACCAATCCATCAGGTTTATCAAGTGTCACCGAGATGGGTAATCTCCAGACCATATTGCTCAAAAATGGCTGTTGATCAGGTGACCGTTGTTCTGCTCGTTGAGCTTGGCACTTCGGAGCCAACCAATAACCCTAGCAGCAGCAGTAGTCAAGGATAACTCAGTGGTGGGTACCTCAATGGTTAAGGCGCGAACCTGCCAAACAGAGGGTCCGTGGTCCGAAAACAACCCTGTCTAGGCCTGGGCAACCTGGCAGTACCTCAGTCCTTGTGCTTTTTTGGGTAGCATAGCAGCTATGTTCCGAAAGGTTGCTATAGCTGAACGATTATAATAATTAATATTAGCCGGGGATAGTAGTCGAGCATTAGGTACCATACAGATGGCGCACTGTTAATAACCAATGGAGACGAAAAAGACAAACTAATGCCCGTATGACTGCCGGTCAAACAATAATCCCCAGTTCTCAATTTAAGTCCCCTTGTGACAGTGACTAGCCACTCCAGAATTCGAAATAAATGGCGGCCAAGCAAAAACATCAAATCCAAGTGACGTAAATGCGATTAACGGAAGATATATGCTCCTTTTAAGCGCACTCAAAACAACTGAACAAAAATAAACGGGACCTCTATGTTGCCTAAATGGGATGACCAGACAGCAGCATCCTGTCTCAAGGTCGAATGTTCACCCAAAAAGCCTCATGTGGCCTAACGTAAGCAAGTGCGGCCGTAAGGGAAGATGAAGACCAAAAGCGGCATATGTAGGCTATGACAAGAGATTGTACAAGGTTATTGATGAATCGCAAAACTAGTAATTTTCATATTTGTGGTGATAGTTTCTATGAGTGCAGCTATTGATTAAAAAAAGCAAAACTGTATGAAGAAACTCATGGAGAAGTGAGAATCAGTCGCGATGCGTCCAAACTCACCTTCGGCAAAATGACGAGCAGCCCTAATAGCCATTTCTGTAACAACCAAGTCAACACCACGCAACCCAGCAAGTACCAGAATCCGAATTCGACCGGGCAACTTGGCGATTGGATTGGATGCGTCCCAGACTCTGTTGGGCGTGAACTGGTGAGATTTCCTGCCAACGATAGCCACCTCAACTGCGACTAGGTGGTCCGTTTTGATGGACGAGCCTGTCTGTATCGAGTAGGGGATCTGTCCAGTGGTGACAAACTCAGTGGAAACCGAAGCACGAACAGCTGTCTGAACATCTGACTGAGGGAAATAGGACGGGAGCCGATTCAAAGCAATATCAAAGTCCAACTCGTGAGACCATTGGGAAGTCATATCTGGCCATAACGTGAAATTCAGTTGTTCTGATCGAGTATGCTCCACGTACGGCAACTGAGATGCGTTGATTACAATAGGTGAAGATGCAAAATAGCTGGAGGAGCGTTAGAGAGGAATGAAAATGAGAAAGCTAGCATGATCATGATATCTAGATGGCATGAAGGGTGAATAATATGGTCACCAGATGCGCCGTAGTTTATCAGTCGGGTATAATGATCCCCAATCAAGTCACATCCGTTGATGTTGATGCTGGTAGTTGGTACTAGGAGCTTCATAGAGTTCGTTCGAATCCGAAAGTAACCATAACTAACCGGGTTTCTCCGATAGGGCGAAAGCGCCAATCGAACTCCGCACCTAGGATTTTGGCTGGCGAATCCAACAATAAAACCATCAAGAAGGTCAATAGGTCATCTTTCAAGTCGCAGAGTCATTGACATACACACACTATGCGCGCGTTTGTCACCATATGCGCCCAGAATTGAAACCCTGTCTACGAAGTCGGTACACACTACATATTAGTTAGTAGCGGGTGTAGTTGAATTATATCCCGTCTGCCTGCATAATTCAAATTTGGGTCGTACAATGTTATCGCGCTAAGAATTCGAAAGTACGTAAAACTCCCACCCGCCTACTTGTTTACAGCTTTGTCCATAAATCAACAATCATATAAGATGGTAGGATATAGATCAATAACAGTTTTGGAAATTCTCCCGGTAGATCAAACACTAAAATCAACCGGTTTCAGAACACCGATTGCGCAGTCTCAACATTCTCGGGCTCTTAAGAGCTCTCCAAAGGGACGTAGTTGGTTCTTTGCATTCTACTGGATGCTCGTTGGCTAACCGGGAAAATGACCGTCTTCGATATTCCCTCCATTATAATGGTAATTGTAAATAACTGGTAAAACAATAGACAAGATTGTATCCTTTCTAATCGCCGAAGATCAAGATCTGGTGTTTGTGAAACTTGAAACCCATCACAGTAACGCTATGGAAGAATTCGCGGGTACTACTGATGGAAACACGTAAATGTACCACATATATTGTAAGCGACATTGGCTCCCGTCTGTTACACGCCATTTTCCTCAAAAAAATTGTGGAAAAATCAAACAAAAGCTTGAAAAAAAAATTCCGTACCAGTCATGTTGGAGATAACGCCGTAACTACCTGATTGCCCGATGGATCGTTTCCTTGTAAAGTTTACAAAACTGCTTCTCATTAACCACAACCTGTTGTGGGAACTTCCTTTTAACCGTGGTAGTCTTTCTTAGGAGGCTTGTTGTACTTAGATGTTACCTTCGTGTTGTGAGTTAACAGCTCTAGAAGTATTCATTCCATGGTGATATCTATAAACAACTCGAAAAAATAGTGGATGTATTTAATACGCTGCCAAGTGTCTCGAAAGAAAGCGGTAGAAGGTGAAACCCACCCAGGTTTCGATGCCCACACAGTATACATGCCGGTGTCTGGGAGCAGTCGCCAGTATTCGCCCAAATCGATGGTAGTCTGAATCGTGTGGGAGTTGTTCATCACGTGAATAGTTGCATTGCCAACTGGTTGATGCGTTACGGCATCGAAAACGAATCCACGTAGAGCGCGGTGAACCTGAAAAGTGAAAAATGACCACAATATTGAGCTTCGTTAGCGTGCAAACTGAGAACGCGCGATAGTCACCAGTGAACGTCGTCATGGCATTAGTCGACCGTGGGAACATAAAGGATAAACTAAACGAAACCCTGAACTAAAACGGCCCTCTTTTAGACCCGGATTTTTCGATTTACTTCAGGCGACACCCCACCACCGACGAGGGACTAGCGTCAATGGCTTACGGCTCTCACTGTGCATCAATCTGAGATAAAATTAGACGCCAGCTGCATTCATAAGCAGCAGCTGGATCACCACCGATAGCGTACGCAATTGGTCAGCAAAACGCACAATTATCATGAGAGAAACAACCGATCAGACGAGTCTCTCTATCCTTTGAATGGGAGGTGTCTTTAGATGAACTAACCAATTGTATCAGTAGAGTACCGGGTCACAATCCACGAGATCTAGAATTCCTATGAGTCTTGTGTGATTTTGAAAGTGGACATTTCGTCAATTCTATGAACTGAGTTGGCTTTGGTAGTAGTGCAGCAGGTAAAAAACGGCACAATCGCGTTCGCTAAGTTGTACCGCCAGTCGCATCAAAAAAGGCATCACCCAAGATTTCCCGGGCCGGATGCCTGGGCCTAGGAATATATGTTGCTTACTTCTTGTCTGGAAGAGGGATTCCTAAGAAGATATGAGAGGTCCAAGGATATGGGAAACTAGTGTGTCCTGACCCTAACCTTCTTTTTCAGAAGGGTAAGCTAAATTTAGGAATTTCGGAGTAGTGTGAGTCTAATAAAATCAGACAAGCGAATATACACACATCTGCAAACTAATTTGGTTCTTTCGAGAGACTCACCTGGAACCCAGCTGAATCTCTCGTTTGTGATGTTCTCAGGCAACTGAATGTGCTGCACCAGGTCGCCTCATGTTTCAGTCGCTACGATATTTGAAATATCGCGATACATGTATATATTTGTAATGTAGTACTCATAAGGTTGCTGAAAATCCATCGACAGCCCACGAACGGTTTCGCCCTTCTTGGGGCTCATCAGGTAGCGACTGAAACATGAGGCGGCCTGGTGCAGCACATTCAGTTGCCTGAGAACATCACAAACGAGAGATTCAGCTGGGTTCCAGGTGAGTCTCTCGAAAGAACCAAATTAGTTTGCAGATGTGTGTATATTCGCTTGTCTGATTTTATTAGACTCACACTCAGACAAGCTTTGGTGTAACTAGACCCCTGAAAACATCCGATCTTTGGTCCATTGGGGCCCGAAAGTTTAATCAAAAAGGGCATACACAAAGCACCGGGATGATGTGTGTAGCTAAATCCTCTGAAGGGGGCAACCAATCGTTCAGACCTTAAACTGCTGAAATGGACACAATAATGCATTATTCTGCCTGTGTGGCCAAATAGGAGATTGCCTCATTAAACCGCTTTATCCTTGTCGTCAGTTCGCAAAGATGCGTAGCAAGAAGTAAACCGCGATATGACTAGCGTTGTGAAGGGTGAGTGACATCCTACTATAATCAGGTAAAGGTCGCCGCTCAGTCAGATGTTGTGTCCGTAGATCATGTCAAAGGTTTGGTTTTGGTAGGTCGAATGACTAGTGCGAGGGCTCACGTTACCGATGTTTCTCAATATCTGCACAGCACTTTTACCTTGCAAGACGAATTGAAAATGCATAGCAGCAAAGTAGTACAGAGGTGAATCATCCGGTATTTATCCGGGATCATGAAGGAAAGTGGAACAGTACTAAGCGTAACCGATTTCACGACGTTAAATGAGGCCTATTAAATCACTAAGTCGCGTTAAATCACCAACTTCCGGTAGATGATAGAACGTTGCTAATGGGCGGTACCTCAGTACGATTGGTTAATTTTGTTATACATGAACAGATTATGAGAAGTAAAAGTTGTTTAGTCTTGTGGCAAAGGTATAACGCGGTGCCATATCGAAGAAAGCCGTGTTTAGGAAATAAACTAAACTGGGAAAGAGAACTAATATGGAGGAAATTGTTGGTAGCTTAGGTAGCGTGGATGGCCGTTGGCTTGTTCGATGAGCTGGGCAATTCAACTGTGGTTGTGCCGCTAACCCACCGCTACGCACCACTACGCTCCGCAATAACCCACTGATGATATCACCCCGATTGGTGATGAAACGTTTGCAATCGAATTGCCCAGCTCAGCAAACAAGCCAAAGACCAAAGAGAACTAATACTAGTCTAACAAAACAGGTGAAAAATAGTAGTAGGGTGTAACTCAAGGGGTAAAACGTAGCGGGCCAGTTTTGTTTACGTGGGCAGTGAGACTTTGACCCCATGAGAATAATTTATGTGTCCAACAGGTTTCCTGACAGAAGGGCACTGCAGGTGCCCCATTCGGTGATTGAGGAAGTGATGAACTGAACTTGCTACCAGTGGCGACCCGATTCTGAATCAGCGAATCGAGTATGTCTGCAGTTTGTCCGAAGAAATATTGGCTAATCTAAGTCCCGTCGGTTTCAAACAAGAAGTTATTGGCGAGATCGAGATCTGCCCAGCTCGCAAACAAGCCAAAGACCAAAGAGAACTAATACTAGTCTAACAAAACAGGTGAAAAATAGTAGTAGGGTGTAACTCAAGGGGTAAAACGTAGCGGGCCAGTTTTGTTTACGTGGGCAGTGAGACTTTGACCCCATGAGAATAATTTATGTGTCCAACAGGTTTCCTGACAGAAGGGCACTGCAGGTGCCCCATTCGGTGATTGAGGAAGTGATGAACTGAACTTGCTACCAGTGGCGACCCGATTCTGAATCAGCGAATCGAGTATGTCTGCAGTTTGTCCGAAGAAATATTGGCTAATCTAAGTCCCGTCGGTTTCAAACAAGAAGTTATTGGCGAGATCGAGATCAGGAACGATACACTTCAACGAGACTCAAAGTGGCCTTGCACAAAAATGAAGCTTTTCTACAATATTAGTACCAGTGTGCGAAGGAGTTGCAGCAAGACATGTTTGCTTGCTTGAGTAATTACCTGAGTAAAGTATACACGAAGATTATGCAACCAGCATTGACAAACGACATGGCCGATAGCAGAAAGTAGACATAATCAGTAAAACAAAAAGCTCACCTCTGCCATAAAAACAAGTAACGAGTTCCGATTATCTTCCCAATAGGTTGAAATCAATTCAGACTTCGGGTATTTAACACATCCAAGTTCCACGGTTACTTCCATGCAGTTGGCGTACAGGTAGTTCCAATCTTGCATACCTCCGTATAAAGGATACCATTTGTTCCCATTGGTAATACCCCAATGGAACGGTGGCTCGCCACACGAGATGATGCCTTTGTGCATTTCCTTGTGTGCCTACAAACGATCACATGGGAAAAGAGGAACGGGACAGTGATTGCTGGACAGATTAACGGCATCATGACCGGAGGCAGAGTTAGAACACAAAGGCAAACAGAGATCCAAATCGATCAAGCATCACTATGTGATGAACAGGGGTAAACAAAACTACCGGTTAGCTGTAGAAACAGTACAAAGGCATTCGGCGGTGATGCAGGCACAGGCAAACAAACCAAGATACTGGAACAAAAGCGGAAAATGCAGAAGCCACGTGCAAACGTACAGGAATCAGTCTGAAAATTCTGAATGATTGGCAAAACGCGGGGTGTATGTAAAATCCATAAGGAAAAACTCCCAATACATGCTAATTAAAAGTGAGTGAACAGTGTTTGAAAAAGATCTAGTAAATCCGCTTTCTGACTTAACTTGCAAAGCTGTCTGATAAATTCGCCCGACGACGACGAACCTATGCGCTTAGCGCATACAAGGGCATGACTTGTTAGTGGATTCCGAAAAAACCGGTTAAGCCTAGATTACATTGCCCAAATTTAGGCAATCTCAGACCAGAAAACCGGTCGCCTGAAGTCAGTACAAATGGAAAACTTGGATAGGGTAGCCAGTGAGTAATCCGTGGATTTGAGTTTCGAAAAGGAGGATTCGATTCTCTACGTAGGCGTCATCTAATTAGTCGCCCGCTCCACGTTGGGGTAATATAAGCATGTTGCTTCACACTATGTGAAGCATACCTTAAATGGGTCAGCCATGACAAAGCGAATAAAAGACCAGCATAGCGGAGCCAGAATGACCAGTGCTTTCAAGAGAATACGAGGACATCGTTAAACACCCCACGACTGATAACAAATATGTTGGATCAGCTGCCCAATATTAATGAAAACCTCGAGTGATATGAGCGCAAAAATGAGTGACTCACTGTGGCCAGAGAATAAAAGCGAGGTATGTAGAACTTACCCAACTGTAGACCAGCGCTAACCGCCGAAATACTGCATCATCCGGAGTAGCTGAATGGTAGGAGGTATGGTTTGCACTACCGTCAAAAGGATAGGAGGCAACCAAAGAGCCAGCATGTAGGCTCATCGACAAGGTGAACCGATTATTCTCCGTCCAGTTGATCATAGCCAGCGTCTCTGGCTGCTGCAAATATTAGCGAAACAAAGGTCAAAGAAAGTAAGGAAGATATCACAAACCCGTGGTCCCTCTTTGGACGCCTCACGAAACTGGTCGGGAAAATCACGGTTTAAATCAACTGCATTGGCATTTCCACGTCCAACAACGCCATTGGTGTCGCCTATAAAGAGGAAAATAGAACCATGGAGCACCGGTTTCCAGATACTGTGATCAACGTGAAATATTTACGACGACTTGCTGATAACTTATCCCAAAACAGAATACCTCCGCAAGACGTAACCCATTAGCGTTCTCCGAAGAAGATAATATATTGTCCATATCTCAAATACGGCCAGTAGGCAAGAACAACCAACACAACCCAGTCAGATGTCTAGAAGACAGCCGCAGAAGTATTCTTGAGTGGTCGTGTGCTCTTGTGTGCATGAGGTAACGAAAGAACCGAGACAAATCATTGACACGACCGTGCGTCGCTAACAGAATCCAAATAATCAAGGTACAAGTGATGGCTAAGGTGTTGAAATCACAAACGTTATCAAGTTTTTAGGCTGGGTAGATCATATTAGGAAAAGGAGCCAGAGTAGAGGAGATTCATTGAAGAAAGCCCCCTTTGATGGAGTGCAGGTCGGGAAAGAGAGTTGCGACACACCGCTTGGTATCCTCGGGTCAAACATCTAAATCATGATGCCGTAAAAGGATGCACCAATCTTCGTCATCATCAGTAGGTAATTGCCAGGAGGAGTTCCTCTGAGAAGAATGTGTGATCCTCTAATTGTCAAGTTTCTTTGCCCCTTTTCTGCAACCTCCCTGTTCTGAATTACTGGTTGTAGAAACTCTTGTGATCGCGACCATGAAATCGGACGATAAGATCCTAACGCGTTTTGAATACGGAATATAAAATGTCACTGTTTTGTAAGCATTTATTATCGAAAATTGTGGAGTGAGAAAATTCTCTACAGCAATCGATTTATATCACCCTCCCAGATAAACACTGATAAACGACCGAAACGCGGGCGCCGGGCAATTTTTCAGTGTGAACTTGCTACTGCAAATTCAAGGTGGAATGGGTGTGCTGAGTGAGAAAGTATAAAGACGAGAAACTGGTGAGTTGCTATGTTTATAGGTTAAAAAGACAGCTGACAACCGAAAAAATGTGGTACAACACCAAGATCACATGTTCTTCGATAATCTCGGTATTCACGAGAACAGTAAACTTGCTGTGAACGTGCTAGCACTTTGATTTTATCTATTAGTATTTTGCTGTGGCTGTCCAGTGGACGTCAAGACACTGATTCAACGACTGATGTGATCAGGCACAGAAGGTACGTAAGGCCACTTTAGGAGAGAACTTGAGCCGAGAAACTCCACGATACAGCCTCCACGTATAAGTCAGAATTTGATGAATATATGCATAGAAATCTGAGAGCAGAAGGTCCGCATCTCTTGTGTGTAAATAAGGACGAATGCACTGCTGCGAGGAATCATACTGACTTACCTTCCACGGCAATCTCGAAGCCGTCTGGGTTCATTGAAGGCAGAAGGTGAATCTGGGTATGTTTCAACAGCAAAGTTATGAGGTCGTCTCGTCCATAGTTACGGCAAAGAACCCATGCAAGACGAATAAGTAGCTCACGTCCGATAGCTTCGTTTCCATGAATGTTAGCTACTACTTTCACTTCTGGTTCCCCAGGCTCATGTTCATCAGGATGGTCACCCAAAGAGAGGACCCAAAGGGTGCGGCCAAGTACCGATTTTCCGATTTCATATAGCCGAGTGATCTTCGGACAAGCTGAATGGATTGTAGCCAATTCCGCGTACAGTTGCTCAGTGTGGAGGTACCTAGAAGAGGGAGTTAAACACACAAAAGAGCTATGCACCTGTTGCCGAGTTCCGGTTCAACGATACTCCAGTGTACAGGAGTAGTGGCATTCGAAAACCGCGACGCTAGACTGAGGATCGCGGAAGAGCTAGAACGTGTCAGGATTAGCGTGACATCTAATGAAACTCACTAGTCACTGTTGACCGTTTTCACCGCGGAATTATCTGTACCATCTAGCCGAATTATTCCAACGATGAACATTACTACGTAAACATGCTTGCACTGCATCGTGTAGCCCAAGTATTCACGCGATTGGCAGGCTGGAAAACAGAATGCAGACGTTAGTTCGGTGATGGAAATAGTTGTGGAACGTGAGTAAATGTCACCAAATACATGAAAAACCGGGCCGAATTAGACGAAGGATTAGTGCAGGACAACGTTTGAGATAGAGAGCAAGAGTGAGATGATAGTCAGCGTGATAGACGCTGATATCAACCATCACCAAGATCAGCGTACAACCACACACAGGGAGAGATAAATAGTAGGTTGACAGAATACAAGTCAGCGCGTCGTCAGGGTGAATTGCCCATCTCATAACCATGTGTGTCGCATTTGTCATCTATAAGCCTCCTGCATTAAGTCGTTCACTGACTCAGTCGAAGCGGATATATGAGGTATGGATGGAGGGCCATCTACTTGGCTGCGATCTTTCCTAACTAGAAACGACACCGAGAAAAGCGCGCCATACAGCCTACTTAGACTTCTGAAATCGAAGCTTACAAGGCGATGATAGTGCTAATCAATTACTCTCAACATTTTATCACTGAAACTGGTGCACCAGACTTGGCAATAGGCGCACCTGGATCAGAATGGGAAGCTCATTTGCTTTCTTCTTCACATGTTACCTCCGCCAGAGAAACACCATTTGGCAGTCAAAAAGGAAACATAAAGTCATAAAAGCCATTACGAAAGAGAGACTGCCATCTTGGAAATAAACTCAAAACTAGGCACTGGTTACTAAGATACTCAGCATAAATTAAAAACAAAGGACGATGAGTTTTACGCTGGAAAATCTAGTTATCGCCCTTTCCATTGTGGTGTTATGTGTTGTCCCGGTAAGGAAAGCAACATAGCTGACGATTTCCATCGCAGTTTGTGTAAGTCAATGTCGACCCCCTACTGAACGAAAATACATGTGGATGGGTCGGCCCCAAAAATGACCCAGGTGGCCATTACCTAGGTACGATATCCGAGCATAACGTTGTCGAGTTTTTGATCCACTGTCTGATCGTTCGGAAAAGCTGTAGACCGAGTAGTTAAACGTCGGTCTTAACTGTAGACGGCCAGACTTTCAGTCGTCTTCCGGTGGGACAGTTTCCCTTTGAACAGGTAACGACGACAGGAAGACTTTGAACAGTTCTGCCTGATGTGCGGAGGACATGTTACAGTCAATGTAGTCCTTATCGCTGGTTCAGTGAGGAGAAGCATAACATATTACAACGCCATTGGTTACCCAGTCGTTCCTACGTACTTCTCCATAGGCACCCATAGTAAAACCTTCGAGTCTTCGAACATCGACGGTTCGGAGCGGCCAGGTCTCACAGGTGTATGTTGAGAACTGGAAGGTTGCACTGTACGCACGGAAATTTGTACGAAAGCCAATTTCTGAACGCCTCGACAGAGCAGTGAAGAGCTGCATGTAAATATTCCTAGCAATGTCGATTTGAACGTCTATCTTTTGTCGTCCCTGACTATTGGCGAACACGATGGAGTCCAAATATTTGAAGAAGTCGGCTCTCACTTAACAGTAAACGGACTAGACTGGACATCCGCACTTGTGGTGAAATTCGTTTTTTTCGGCACTTACTTTGCGTAACCAGCGAAGCGTGGTAGCCGATCACTATCATCATCATCCTCCTCAAAGACAGCAACATCAGTGTTGACACTGATGCTTCAATGCAGTACAACCATAAGGTTCGTCTAACTGTATATATATATATATATATATATATATATATATATATATATCAAAGTATATATCCAAGAGCGTGACGAGCGACGTCTACTGAGGCCCCAATGGTCGCGTTCCAGTCGCCAGCAACCATGAGTATCGCGGCGAAGGATCATGTGGCACTGCTGATGCTGATGAGTGTGGACACAGTTGATCACTAGTGGATCATGGTAGAAATCGTTCTTGGTGAGAAATACCATGAGAGCAGGAGCGCAGACGGCTACGGTGATCACTGAGAGACCTTTAAAACAAGCTGTTGCAATCCCGCGCGATACTTGTTCCGAAGAAAGAAATCTCAGGCACGTTTTCTAAGAGCAACAGCCACATTGTGCAGACCTGAGTTGTCATTCGGATCCCTGAGGCACATTTCATGGGGGACTTTCATCTGTCTGAGTTGTGAGCCATATCCAGGAATTTATGTCTCTAAAAGGCAAGTAATGCCGATTTTGTGGCCAAAGAGGTTTCTCATGTTGAGACTGGCTCCCAATGTCAAACAGAGTACCGACATTTCAGCAACCTATGAAATTTCCTTCACCTTCGAGAAAGGTTAAGGAAAACCAGATTGCAGATTGATCACCTATACGAGTGAGCCAGCGTCTGAAACGTCGCTTAGCGGGAACATCATAGTGTGGGCGGAGCTTCGCATCTGGGATATATTCATGCAGTAACACAGAAATTCGTGTATGACCCAGCGCCACACGACTTTTGATAACGAAAAGCGCACCTCTGGACTTTGCAAACCAAGTGTGGACAGTAAAACGTAGAAATGTGCCGAAGGAAGAACTGTAATGGAGGTCGCTGTAGCGAAATCCCACCTTATTAGACCACTTCGTCAGATCAGACGTTTGTACGAGTTTGCTTCCCTAGTCCTTGTACATCCAAGTGCGGTCCACACGCCAGCAGAATTTCCCAATTCAGAGCGGCCGTCACACGGTCCATACGAGAAATCAGCGCTACAAATACTTAATATTCGTCCAAGCTTATCTTGTGGCAAGTGGAAACCGTGGCTCCAACCCATTAATCCCATCTCATCCACTGCCCATTAGCCTTTGGCAAACTGGCAATATAGCTCCTGGGGGAATTCCATCGGGTGAGTTGGGGCTTGGCGTCTTACCCATTAATTCTCATCCACTGCCCATTAGCCTTTGGCAAACTGGCAATATAGCTCCTGGGGGAATTCCATCGGGTGAGTTGGGGCTTGGTTGGCTTCGATGTGCCAGCAGGAACCTTTGCAAAATTTCTTCTGTTGGTCCATCCCCTCTGGACTTCTGAAGTGCCTGCTTCAGAGTGTCAACGAAGCGTCCCGCTTAGCCGTTCGACTGTGGATGAAACGGCGACGAGCGGACATATTTTATGTCATACTCCCGAAAAACGTTTGCGAACGTCGTCGACATGGACTGACTGCCGTTGCCTGATACGATAATCTCTGGTGTTCCAAAGCGACCGAACAACTGTCGGAATTCCAGGACTGTAGTGGCAGTTGTGGGGCTGCTCACTAGGAAAATTCCCGGCCATTTGCTGTAACCATCGACCAGGGTTCGATCGGCTTCGGCCACGACCGTAGGCAGGTTTTCACGGGTGACTTGGATGATTCAGCACACTGCAGGCACGATTTTGAGACTTGCTCGATCTGGGAGTCTATCAAAGACCAGTGGTCGTGACTCCGAGCAAGGGCCTTTTCCTGTCTGTTCCCGGGTGCCCTGTATGAAATTGGTTCAGGGCAGCTGGTTGTAACTTCTTTGGGATGACAACACGTTCTAAAAACAAAAGGGATCCATCGGCTAGTGAAAAGTAAGGTTGAAGTAAGGTCTCAGTTCGTCTTTTGGGTAGGTACGCGGTCACTGATTGCGGTGGTACTTAATGACTTGCTGCATCTTGGTCGGTAGCCTGGCGGACCATGTCGGCAGTCACTGGGAAGATGCGAATCGCTTCTGAGACGACGTGGTTAACCTCCGGTTCCAGGGCAATTGTTGCGACTACGGTGTCTTCTGGTTCCGGTCTACTTGAATCAATGAGTCGCAACAGCGCGTCGGCTTGTCCGAGGCTAGTAGTGGACTGGTACGTGATCTTGAAGCCATATCCCAGAAGCAGAGTGGCCCATTGCTGAAGGTGGTTGGCAGTATATGCTGGGATTCCTTTCTTCGAAACAAACACAGCAAGGAGTGGCTTATGAGCGGTCAGTAGAGTGAACTGACGGCCGTAGAGCATTGTATGAAACTTTTTGACGGCAAACACGATCACCAAAGCTTCCTTTTCTATATGGCTGTAGTTGCGCTCGGCTGATGCCAGGGATTTGGCTGCATGTGCAATGGCCTTCTGGCTGCTGTAGGGGAAACATGTGAAATCACTGCGCCAATTCCATAGTTCGAGGCATCCGGCGCCACAACAATTTCCAGAGATGGGTCGTAATGGGTGAGTAGCAAATCGGACCTCAGAATTGACTTGACAGAGTCAGGCGTTCTGCAGACGTTGCTGAGCCTCACCACCGAATGTCAATGCATATTTCAACAAATCATGGATACGATGCTGAAGGATGTCTCCGACGTTGCTGCCTATTGGACGATCTCATTGTCATGGGTTCCAACCCCCACGAATTGTCGCAGCGCCTTGATTACGTGCTTGGTCGTATCCAAGAATATGGCTTTAGAGTGCACAGAGAGAAATGCACCTTTTTCATGCGGTCGATAAAGTACCTTGGGTTCATCATTGACGAATATGGCCGCCGACCAGACCCGGAGAACATCGAAGCTATCAAACGTATGCCAGCGCCCACAGACGTGACGCCCCTCAGGTCCTTCTTCGGTCTCGTCCATTGACATTCGGTGGTGAGGCTCAGCAACGTCTGCAGAACGCCTGACTCTGTCAAGTCAATT